ACCAGCGTCAATGAGTGGTGGCTAATCACATTGTGGTTGTTTTAATGGTTATCATCATTTGTTCCACTTAAAATATCTTTAATATACTAGCTATTTTAATTAACCTAATTCACTATACTATGTCAATTGACATTTAAAGCCATTGTTAATTTAATGCCAAAGATCTAACTGCATCTATTTTTTACAGTTCAAAATTCAATTGAAACAAAAAATAAATAAATGACAAATTTAAGAAAAATCACCAAAAATTAACACTTACGGAATAATTAAACCTATTTTAATTTAAAAATTTATTAAAAATTGTAGGATTCAAATTTTAATATAGTACAATCCAAAATGTCTATTTTAATTATATAATTTGGTACATTTTAAATTATACAATTTTATGAATAAAACAATATATAATGTATTTCTAAATTCTGAATCATTTCAAATTATTTTATACTTGATTGTATACAATCTAGCATGTCAATACGTCTGTTAACATAATATAAACTCTTTATTTTAACTTTTTTAAGTCTTAATATGTATTAAAAAGTAATTTTTAAATTTAACTCAATTTCACGTATAAAATAAGATTATATATTGTTTAAATTTATACATTTGTACATATATTTTGAATGTGAAAAAAGAATAACAAATAACATAAACATAAGAAAAAACAAATTTTATTTATATAAATTCAAACTTATAACTCTAACACCGTGATAGACATGAACAAGGAATGGAAAATGAAATTTATCATACTGCTCTTCAAAATCTTGGTTCAATGTTATTATTGCTCGAATATGGAAAATGAAATTTACCATTTACCATTGAATAGCAATAAGACCGTGAACTACATTTGATATTAAATTTCGTCAGGGTAATCCAAAGAATGAATCCAAAACTATCGTCAAACCCATAAAAACTAGACACATGATACGATGATTCAACCCAAAGTAGTAAATCACGACAATTAACGTTGCCCACGGCGTAGACCAAGAAAGATGGTACCACTGAACATTGAGTATAGTATGCAATGCGTCGCGTTTTGACGGGAGTAGGCAAAAGAATTTGAAATTGCAGTAGCTGTTGCGTTGAAGTAACTACTTTGATTCGGAGAAATTTTGCCAACTACCTCTCAGCAGCCGAAATGTTATCGATCCGAGCAAGCCTGTCTACTTTCCAACCATCCCAGTTCTCCAGTGTCTGTTCTCATTTATCAGGTTTTTGCTCATCAACCGTTTTCACTCATAGTATTCCTTCCCGTTATCCAGGTAGTTTTTTGACAAGAAAAATAAGGATCTGGACAAGTGTCTAATTTAACTACTATAGCTATTTTATACAACTTCCAACATTTTTTTGGCTGGAAGAGGTTTGCTTCAAAAAAATTTCCAAAGAGCCCCCAAAGCTCGCTTTGGTTGTGCCAGAATTTTCCCATGTACAATAAGAAACATTAAGTTGGAACATTGAAGTAGAGGCGCAAAAGTACAAGTTAACTATTTCCCATTAGAATGGGCATGCTTATGGAAAGGCCAAAGGTTTACTAGACGCTCAAGTACGCTCTTTGAAAAATAGCCAGAGAATCCTGCAGGGGTTGCTGGTGGAGGGAAGTCTTCTGCAGGCATAGCAAATGGATGAATCATCATCTCCATTTTTTCCAATGTGAGATAGGACCCTACTTCTTGTAGCCTTTCAGGACCCATAATAGGCAGTGTGTGCTCCTGATGCAATGAAGATGCCTCGCTATCATTTTTCTGCAAATAATACAACAAACATAAATAAGCTAATGAAGAAATTCAACATTTAAAATCAGTCAGCATATATTCCTCTGAACGAAAAGTTGTCAAGGGAAGAACTTTTATCATGCCAATAAATAAAATTTCAATGAAATGAGTGACGTAAAAACTGAAGCCTCATACGACTGTGTTATGTGCAGTTGCGAGGGACAATGATGCTATCAGATGGATTAACTTGGAAATTTCGAAGCTTGAAACCAGTTGTGCACCATTTGTATAATAATGCCCAGTGGAATTGAATTGAATTGAATTTCACTTTCAAACCATATACCAGATACAGCAAACACTATAAATTGAATAGCATTTACCTCCAAGGGGGATAAATCAGCACCACGGCTAAAAGTCAACTCTATGCGGAACCTTTTTGGATCTTCCAAATCTACCTGGCATTTGCAAACCAAATTTAAAATCAATATAACACAGATACCACAGAAACTACACATCACATAACTCTAGATATTATACCCCTCCAAAATAATGAAAGTATCACACTGTTCTACGAGGTAGCTCTCTTTCTCTGTTATCAGACTGAAGCTGCCTCTTGGTTAGTCCAGTTAATTGCAACTGTGGTTAGTTTTCACAACTGTTACTACATCTGGCATAATTAGGGTATCTAGGATTCTAAACAGCCTTGCCAAAGGCAGTTTCATATACCAAGAATGGATTCTTCAGAATGTTCTATTTGTGGGCTCTTTCCTAGTCCTAGTTATTCGTCACTCGTATACCACTCAACAAAGCGGAGTCCAACGCATCTGAATGGCTATGTTCACCTAAAGAGAATAGGGCCACTTGATTACCTTACCCTCACGTAGCGGTGGGAAAATTGATGAATCCAACGATAAATACATTAATCCATTTAAAATATAATTCGTCTAGATCCATTTGACAAAAATCAAATCCATTGCTTGACAATTTTTTCACAGATAAATATTCAANTCGTCAAACCCATAAAAACTAGACACATGATACGATGATTCAACCCAAAGTAGTAAATCACGACAATTAACGTTGCCCACGGCGTAGACCAAGAAAGATGGTACCACTGAACATTGAGTATAGTATGCAATGCGTCGCGTTTTGACGGGAGTAGGCAAAAGAATTTGAAATTGCAGTAGCTGTTGCGTTGAAGTAACTACTTTGATTCGGAGAAATTTTGCCAACTACCTCTCAGCAGCCGAAATGTTATCGATCCGAGCAAGCCTGTCTACTTTCCAACCATCCCAGTTCTCCAGTGTCTGTTCTCATTTATCAGGTTTTTGCTCATCAACCGTTTTCACTCATAGTATTCCTTCCCGTTATCCAGGTAGTTTTTTGACAAGAAAAATAAGGATCTGGACAAGTGTCTAATTTAACTACTATAGCTATTTTATACAACTTCCAACATTTTTTTGGCTGGAAGAGGTTTGCTTCAAAAAAATTTCCAAAGAGCCCCCAAAGCTCGCTTTGGTTGTGCCAGAATTTTCCCATGTACAATAAGAAACATTAAGTTGGAACATTGAAGTAGAGGCGCAAAAGTACAAGTTAACTATTTCCCATTAGAATGGGCATGCTTATGGAAAGGCCAAAGGTTTACTAGACGCTCAAGTACGCTCTTTGAAAAATAGCCAGAGAATCCTGCAGGGGTTGCTGGTGGAGGGAAGTCTTCTGCAGGCATAGCAAATGGATGAATCATCATCTCCATTTTTTCCAATGTGAGATAGGACCCTACTTCTTGTAGCCTTTCAGGACCCATAATAGGCAGTGTGTGCTCCTGATGCAATGAAGATGCCTCGCTATCATTTTTCTGCAAATAATACAACAAACATAAATAAGCTAATGAAGAAATTCAACATTTAAAATCAGTCAGCATATATTCCTCTGAACGAAAAGTTGTCAAGGGAAGAACTTTTATCATGCCAATAAATAAAATTTCAATGAAATGAGTGACGTAAAAACTGAAGCCTCATACGACTGTGTTATGTGCAGTTGCGAGGGACAATGATGCTATCAGATGGATTAACTTGGAAATTTCGAAGCTTGAAACCAGTTGTGCACCATTTGTATAATAATGCCCAGTGGAATTGAATTGAATTGAATTTCACTTTCAAACCATATACCAGATACAGCAAACACTATAAATTGAATAGCATTTACCTCCAAGGGGGATAAATCAGCACCACGGCTAAAAGTCAACTCTATGCGGAACCTTTTTGGATCTTCCAAATCTACCTGGCATTTGCAAACCAAATTTAAAATCAATATAACACAGATACCACAGAAACTACACATCACATAACTCTAGATATTATACCCCTCCAAAATAATGAAAGTATCACACTGTTCTACGAGGTAGCTCTCTTTCTCTGTTATCAGACTGAAGCTGCCTCTTGGTTAGTCCAGTTAATTGCAACTGTGGTTAGTTTTCACAACTGTTACTACATCTGGCATAATTAGGGTATCTAGGATTCTAAACAGCCTTGCCAAAGGCAGTTTCATATACCAAGAATGGATTCTTCAGAATGTTCTATTTGTGGGCTCTTTCCTAGTCCTAGTTATTCGTCACTCGTATACCACTCAACAAAGCGGAGTCCATCGCATCTGAATGGCTATGTTCACCTAAAGAGAATAGGGCCACTTGATTACCTTACCCTCACGTAGCGGTGGGAAAATTGATGAATCCAACGATAAATACATTAATCCATTTAAAATATAATTCGTCTAGATCCATTTGACAAAAATCAAATCCATTGCTTGACAATTTTTTCACAGATAAATATTCAATCCATCCATAAAAATAATATATTTTAAAAACAATTTTCAAAAGATAAATTACTAGGAAGTAAATATTAAGAAAGATTTAATTATGAATACATTAGTTCAGATTAGTTTTGATCCCTTGAGAATTGATGGGAAGGTACATTGAGTTTTGAAATAAACCTGGATGGATCATTAACCGTCCATAAAATTATCCGGAAGGATTTGATCTGATAAATTTTTACTATTTTGCGATGAATGAATTAAATGAATTTGCAGGTGGATAGATGACATTTGTCGCCCATACCTTATGGTAGGTGTGTACAAGCCAAGCAGCCATCAAGCCAAGTCGCTAAAAGACTTAAAATAACTATCAGCAACATATCACACCACTGTGTACACCCTCACTACGCCATGTGGCTTGCCCTGGCCTCCATGGGATAGCCTTCCTTCCTAGTGAACTCTCTCTTATACCAAAAACAAAAAATTGAAGGACCAAAATAATATTGAGCATTCAAGAACCAGATTTAATTCTAGACTTAATTACCCTTTTGGCTCTATTATTATTTTTTCCTTTTATTTGGTCTCTATTATTAATTTTTTTTAGTTAATTTGGTCTCTCTATTAACAATCAAGTCTTTCAATAACAACAATGTGGCTTTTTCAAGGTTCAATCAAGTCTCTTAATTTTAAATAATACAACGTAGTTTTACAAATTGTAACTACATATTGATTATACATTGTATTATGTTTAAATTAAAAGTGTATTTATTTACTAATGATTTTACTACAAATTGAATAGCAAATAGTCACATTTTAATATTTTTAAAAACTTGAGAGCTTGATTGAACCTTTTATTAATAATGGGTTCGAATTGAACAAAATATACCTAGGAATAAAATGGTAACTAAGTCTTTATTCTATCAACACCACATTGAAAATGGCAACTAGCGGTAAACGACTGGGAGGGATATTGCAAACGTGCAGTATCAAATCAGAAACATTGCTTGGGGAAGGTCAAAATAACCTACCTCCGTGTTTTCAAACATCCTCAGCACAATGTAGCTCATATAGTCCAGCTCCTTTGTTCTATAAAGGCGCTGTAAAGCGTTATAGCAAACGAGGCTCTCTTCTTCTAAAAGAGATTCATCCAAATTACAATAACGAAGAACATTCATGAGAGAATGGATATGTGATTCCTGTAAACATAAATAGTAGTTAAAAACAAAAATATGGAAATAAAACGAAGATAAATTCATGCTAATGTCAAAACTTTTGAACCTAAGTTTGCACCTATTTAGAAATTATAGGATTTTATATCTGTTTTTTCGAACATAATTTCACAGTTAAACGACAACTTTGAATGTTTTATTTCAGGAAAGTGGGGAGTGACATCGGTGTCTAATTGCTTAAGTGAAGAAAAGTCTGCTAGAGCCTATCATTTCCTTTCACATGACTGAAGACCCCAATAAAAACAGAGCTACATGCCAAAGGACTTTGTTATTTTTGTCATACTACAATGCATCATGAACAAAACAACATTAATAAAAAAACATTCCTTCCAAGAAACTTTATTCAAATCCTCTTAACAAGAGTGTAAATGATGCTAGCAGCTGGACCAGAATAGCCTGTCCAACATGTTTGACTATCTTGCATGCCTTCTATTCTGTGTACACCCCGTAGAACCCAACAATTGGCTTCCATATATGCTTTTTTCCACATCTATTTGTCTTTTTTTCCATTTTTTTTAATTAAGCCGGTTGTTGAACCAGATTGATGTAAAGCCAAAACACAAGATGAAAAGGATCCAAATCTCCAACACTATTCCCCAGCCAATATAATGACGAGATTTTAGGAAAATAAATTCAATGTCACTCACTGAACAATACTGCTTCAGAATAATAAACCACTTAAAAGTTCTAAGATGTTGACAAGAATAGCCAATGAGTAACCTATCTGTGATTGAAATAACCAGTTTCAAAATACTTTGAAAAGAAAGATCGTAGGGTAGTGAGTGCGTGAGGGAGAGGGGGGTGGCCAGTAAACTTCTGTTCGCAGTTTTATTAACATGATGTGAACTGAAAGGACTCACTGATGTGAAGTATAAGCGTGTTCGCACATGACGTTCAGGTGTCTTCACATTTGCATACCTGGTGGTGGACAATAAAAAAAGTATTAGAATGCGAGTAAAAGTGCACAACATAAAACAAAGACAACACAGTTACTTTGGATCCAAACGGTATTTGGTCTCCTTATCGTCGTCATCCTCTTGATCCATCGATATATCACTTAAAGTGATGGATTTCCTTATATCTTCATTCTTATTTGGATGTTTTGACTTGGCTTCAGTATCTTCCTTTTCAGTTTTCACGGAGGATGAATCATGGTCTTGGTTACTCTTTAACTCAGCAACACTAATGGCTTCCTCTCGAGTGTTCCTCAAATCAATTAAAATTTTACCCAACAACCGACGTGCAATCTGAATCAAATCAATACAAACAAATAAAAAATGTAATAACAATTCACATTATTTACTCGCTACTGGATGTTTTCTGCCTAACAATGAATTTTGTTTTCATTTTACCTTAACCTTCCCTTCTTGTCATGCAATCAATTTTACGTATCAAATTGAAATTTTAAAAATAATATTAAAGTTAAATTAATCTGTATGACCCAGAACTATTTGGAAGTATTTAAAGGTACTATAAATATTTATACTAGGATCCGTAAAATTTTTAATTAGCTCTTTGGCAAAAAAATCAATAGGATTCCATTAAGTAAACAGATTAAATTTTTTTAAATAATTCATGGACCAACTAGATAGTTAACTTGGTCTCTAAACTATTCGAAAATTTTCATATAGATTCCATACACGAAGACTTTACCTTTGAGCCAATCTTTAGCTTCTGCTTCGGATTTATTCCATATTCATTAGGAATTACACCATCAGCAAGTGCCTGCAAATAACAAGGCATAGCAATAAAGGACCTATCATCGTCGTTCAAGGTGATGATGATGCACAGGAATATTACATGTCGGTATGTTGTATCTACAGTGGACCACTTGACTCTTCTGGTTTCTTAAAATCCAAATCTTCTTTTTAAGTGGTAAAGCAAAAACACCATTCAAAATTTTAAGAAAAAAGTTTGCTGAGTAAAAGGTACTGAGGCTTGGAAGTAAGTTTTTCTTTCAAAAAGGATAAATACAATAACAAACACGAACAATAATCTTATCCCACTAGATGAAGTTTGCTACAAGGACACAAGTATAAAGGCAACAAATTACATGTTAATCAAAGTTGAAAACAGTATAAAAAAGTGCAGACGGAGTATTTTGATGAAATTATATAACCAATGCTACTGGTATGAAATATATGCTCAACCCCAAGAAGCATGGAAACATTAGTAATAGTTAGCCACCAAAAGTTATATCTCAGAATATCTAGTGGATAAAAATCCAGGCTAGTTAGCCAGGCTTATACAGTTTCAAGCAGTTCTATTTGAGCACAAATTTCCCTAATAGAACTCGTACCTGGGCAACCTTAAAAAGCTTATCCAATCCCTCTAGATTAAGGTGCGCATTATGTAAAAGATCATATCTGCAATATGAAAGTAAATGTTAACTTCTCAAACATAAGGAATAAAGAAGCTACATAATTTAAACGAAACAATAGTGGCTGCAGTGGGTTTCCCAATTTCAACGCCTAGTCAGTAGTCTCAACTTTAATACACCTCACACACTAAACTGGATGGAGGGGAGATATGACCAAATTATAATATATAAGTGGGTGCAAATCTCACCTTACAAACCAATTTTGAAAGATTGAATTAGGCGTAAAGTTTGTTTTCTAAGATGGTATCAGAACCTGATTGGGCATATCATGGCACTTGTGATCAGGTCACTATTAAACCACAAACAAATATTTATTTCTATGCTCGAGTGTCTAGTCACTGGCATGAGGGGGGAAAAGAAATTATCATTTTTCAATAAAATGGTACTGCTAAAGTATCACAATGTTAATTGCCATCCCTACTATGTTAAGACCACATTAACGGGATATGGAAAGATAAAGATATAAACTAGTAAGTCCATAAGGAAACTCAATTGTTAACATTACAAAATCATCCCCTGGGAATCCACAAAGAAGCTTCTAGAAATTGTCAAGCTGACAATTGCTCTAATTGCTCACTGCAATTTCATTCATATAATGAAAATTTTCTCGCAAGGTATCTAATCAATCTCCACTGTTGCAGTATTCCACAACTATATAAAAAAACTTACTTGCATGAATCGTACACATCAGGAATTTGAGTGATGTCAAAGCGCCTATGAAAGTAAAACACCGTCAGTGTGTCAGCCAAAACAATAAGCAACTTTAGAAGTCATCAGAGTTTTGTGAACAATCTTGTCACAGGAAAAAACATAATTTGAAAAAGCCAGAGAAAAATGAAAATCATTCTAATTAAGGAAAGTTAAATATTCTTACGAGTTACAAACAAAAGAATTATTTCAGTTTTCAAGAAGCTACAAATTACAATGGCCAGAAAAGAAAATTAATTTGGATGAAATGATTTAATAATAAGTCCATCCATAAATCAAGGATTGATACAAAAATAGTACCCATTTACAAACTACCAAGGTTTAATAAGTTTCGACTACACTAATAACTAAATTTAAAATATTCAAACGAGGAATCCTATAATTATTATGGATATTGCATGTAACTAAAAACCTTCTCATATGTTGATAACAGTTGAAGTACCGTTTGTTTTCTCATATATAGAAGGAAATACAATAGAATCAAACAAGATTAAACAAAAACTAAACATGAATGCTTACTCTTTGCGTTCATTATACAGATCCCTTTCAAGCTTTTTCCATCGAGCATACATTAAAAGAAATCCTTCACTACCACAAGGTAATCCAGCAGCTATACGATCAACATCAATATTTGTTTTTCCAAGTGCTTTTGCTTGATCATAAGGAGGAATTACATCATATAACGTTTCTGCAAGATTCTCATCTTCATCCGTGGCAAGTAGTCTTACTTGTTCAGTAACCTTCTTAATCAAGCTTACCTATTCAGTAGATAAGCAAAAAAGATGAGAAACAAAACATTTTCATTTCACACAAATAGTTTCATGTTTAACATTAGTGAAAACTATAGGAGGAATAACTTGTGACAAAAACACTATCCTATCAAGAGTAATGAACTCAAATTTATACCAAACATGAGATGGTAAGAATATAAACAAAAGTTTAACATGATCTTTCAAAATTTTACTATTGCAACTCGATCAACTTTGAAGTTTAACAAAATTTTAGTATTGCAACTCAATAAATCTTTGCTTGACATAATTGTAACCATATTCACATATATTGAAAGAACTGCTTGTAATTGTGTATTTTGCATTGAGTACACCCATGAGCATTCTTATTTATAGTGAAGAGGTACAATAATAAGAAACAAAATCAAAATTTAATAATGAGAAATATTTGGTAAGAATTTTCTCTATCAAATTATATCTATAACATAATCCAATTACATTTCCAACACTTCTCCCTGAACCTAGAGCATATATATCATGAGACAAGCTTGTTACAAACATGATTAATACAAAACCCTCAAGAGAATCATCTTGGTCAGTTGGTTGTTAGATCTGATCAAGTAAATAATGACATTGTATGTTTGACACTTCACCTCAAGTTATCATTGTGTTGGATGGACGGCGACTACCAAAGAGCAAAAAGTTATTGCAAAGCTCAGCACATAAAGGGAGCAAAATCACTTGGCGTGTGGCAGCTGCCACAAAGAGAAAATGTTTCGAGAGTGCAGCAGCTGCTCGGGAGCAAAAATGGTTGGAATGCAACAACTGTCAAAGAAAAATAAACTGTTCGGAGAGCACAGTGCCTGCCACAGAAAAAGGGCTTAGAGGGCACAACAGCATCTGGAGAGCAGAGGCTCGGAAAATGCAGTGGCTATCGAGGAGCAAAAGATGCAGCAACTTCCAAAGAGCAATATAAATGTCTGGAAATTGCAATGGTAGTAGCCAAAGAGCAAATATGCTCAGAGGGTGTGAAGCTGCTAAGGAGAAAAAAGGTTCGAAGAGCACAGATACTAGGAGAGCGGGATGGTTGCCAAAGAGTAAAATAAATACTCGGAGGGCAATGCAACTACTGGAGATAAAAAATGCTTGCACTGGATAATGGTCAGTTAACGGAGTGAAAAAGTCATGGCCTAATAGGGAATTAATGACAAAATAGGCCACTCTGATACAATTTGAAAGAGATACATTAATAAGGAACAAAAACAATACTTAATAATAAGAAAATTTTTGGTAACATAAATAAGGAACAAAAACAATACTTAATAATAAGAAAAACCACATCTTTAGTCAAAAAATGGTAATAATAACATTCCAAAGAATTTCATCATCCCTTTATGTTTTATTCGTATGATACTCATCTTCCATACTATCTCGACACATTTGGGCAATGATTATTTTATTTTACAAAAATATGTGCCGATAAGTATTTTTAACCAATTTTTATGTTACACACTAGAGTCTTCTTAAGGCAGCACAATAAGATAACCAGATTATTTTGCCTCATCAAAAAGGAATTTTTAGCTTTGCCTCTGAATCCTGCCATGGCAGCAAAACAATGCATTATTATATTTACAAAAACATTACCAACTTGGGAAGCAATTCTGACGCATTAGGCGGCAGTCCAGCACCATCAACCATCCAAGAAAATTCAGCTGATCCATTGCTAGGGATTGTCTTTGAACTGGAGGTTATGATTTCGTTTAGCCGGGCCTGCAGAATATTCAACCATGGCTATAATAAGTTGAAAAGCACAGCAGTGTTCCTGTATTACTTTCTGAACCTTACTTGAGACTCTCCACACAAAATTGAAGTTATGCACGAGACCAAGATGTGAGTCTATGTATTACCCATGCTTTAGTCTCAAAATCTAGTATAGTTAGCATCTATGTTATACATAAAATTATTCACCTCCTAATAGCTCAAGGTTTGAGAATATTTTGAAGTAAATGAAATGATAATAGGAAGGGGTCGTTTCAATTCAATTAATATTATGGTTACTGGAAAGGAAATGATCATTTTTAGAATTATAGGAATAGGGGTTCCATCACAAAGGTGCTAGAATTCTCATTTAATTTAACAAAAATATACAGGTAAAAAAATGGATCAACCCTTCTACTGTATAACCCAAAATAGAAACCAAGGATGTGGGTCAACAAAGAAACGTCAGGATACAAAATGAATGTATTTGAGAAGAGATTGTTGCAGCAGTGATTGAGGAAAAGATAACAGAAAATCAATTAAGATGGTTTAGAGTTTGGATATGTGAAGAAGGCCTCAAGGCATCCATGAGAGATGTTAGTTATATGATTTCTAATCCTATGAATAGGAGAGGGAGGCCAAGACTGGAGAAAGTGGTCAAAGAGGGACTTTTGCATAAATAACATTGCAGAAACTTTGGTCTTTAATTGAGCCAAATGGTGTGTGTAATCTATATAGCTGATGGCCTTACCTAGTGGGATAGGTTTTGTTGTAGTAGAAATTATTAGAAAGTGGGTTTAAAGCCTAACTCAACCCCACAAAACCGGCTTATAGGGTGAGGTTTGCACCTCACTTATATATTATAATTTGGCCTTATCTCTAAACGATGTGGAAATTAAAAAAGAAATTGGAAAGCATTTGTTATACAATATGTTGCTAGTATTACTCACAATCCCAAAAGTTTGACCTCTTAGACAAAAGCACGTGAATGGTTTTCATCTCTAATAACTCTACAAGAAAAAAGGGCCCTTGGATGTAAAACAATTCTCAGCCATCATCGGTCTTTGACGTTGAACAAATTTTCAAGTTTTCATCACTACTGTAATGCCTATAACATACAACAAGAACACAAATCAATGTAAACACTTCAAACCTTGGCTTCTTCCATTTCAATACTGGCATTGTCAAGCCCATCCAACATGGAGGAGTCCTTACTAACAAGTGAAACCTAACATTACAATTATTTAAGTCAAATATATATCCAACACAAAAAATAGATCATAAAATAACTTTACAGAAATTTAGAAAACAAACAAACCAGGATTGGTGTTAGCTGCCCTTCAAGGTCAAGAAGACCTTTGGCAAAAGCAGCTGCAGACATCTGTTAACACGGACCAATATAAAATGGTTCATAAACAATACATTTTTGACAGATAATGACAGTTAGTAACATAATCAAACGAAAATAGTTATATAAGAAGGGGAGTACTAGCTTCCAGAACCAATCAGGAAGTTAAGGCCTCCTTTTAGTTGCAAGAAGTAAGTGAGGCAGCCCATACCTGTACACGACCCTCATCAGAGCTGTATATCTTAAGATCATGACGGTATGTGCTATGGAGGCGAAGCAGCCCTGTACCTTCTCCTGCAACATTTAAGAATTTAATTTGCTTGTGTGTACAATCCCTTGTCATGTCTATATTACAAGAAGAGTGAAAGATCATATTTGAAATATATCGTTCTGACTAAAAACATAAGTAACACTCTCATGTTTTAAGCATGACAGTATGATGTATACACACATTCACAAACTGTACATGTATGATTCTTCCTATTTTTCCCCAAATTGGTCAAAAACAGAAATCATTTTAAATGACTAGGAAAATCTGTTTCATAATGCAAAGAAACAATTCAAACAGATTTTGAACTCAGTAAGATGGACTAAAATCATCTTAAAAACCTTTCTAAAACATTTAAATACATTCTGTATTTCTTAAGATGTAAGTCCGTTTCACAATATATTCTGTTACATTTTTCTTATGTATATCCCAGCACATCTAAACATCAAATTGAACTTTTTCGTTAAATGTGAACTGTGTAAGAAGACAAAGAATTGTTTTATTGATAACAATCACACTAATTACATTCTCATTATCCTTATGTAATAATCAAAACCTTTAAAACAAGAAAATACAAATATGCAAAAATGAACAGGAAGATTCAAAAGATATTTTTTTTCTTGATTACTATGAAAATATTGAGAATATCTTTATCCTAATAATTTACTATTTACAACAGTTGAAGAGAAATTCAAATAAAACAATTGATAGCAGTATATCAGTCAAAAGAAAAGAAACTTTGATATATTCCATACAATTTAAATACAAACTCTAGTCAATCATTTATAGGGAAAACAGCTAAGCCTAAAAAGCAATATAGGGAAACAATAAAAATATAAACAAATTTTGAGACTAATTTTTTTCATATCCTAAAATGTCTACAATATGATACAAAAATATGATAAGACAATACAATCTAAAAATAACAAGGTACTATACATATAAGATACATATTTAAAAATATTTAAAAATTCATATAACATATCAAATACATAACTACAATTGTGCAAATCCAAAGTAAAAACCCATTTCAGAGACATTGTTGAAATAAAAGAAGTATTAATCAATGTCATCATAAACTACTTATAGGAATAACATTATCAATCTCATTAATTTTTTAAAATAATTCATAAAGATAACAATTGCCCTCTCTGGTTTATGAAGAGACACAATTATATGTTTCTATATTGCACATGTCTGCATTAAAAGTGTGGACACTTCAGCCAACATATTGATGCCTCAAAAGGTTAAGATACTTCACAATACATATTCATGGAGTGTCGAAGAGTATTGGTATTAAGCATGTATCAGATATTGATACGTGAAGCAAATTAAAGGATTGGTGCTTCATACTACCCCTCAAGTTTGTGAATACATATCGTCATTCGCAAATTACAACAAGTTCCTGAGATACTGTTTCCGGAAGCTCCTTGGTGAACAAGTCCACCAATTGAAGCCCCCAGGATCAAGTATGTGACTATAAGATCAAAGAATGCTTTTAATACGTGGGTACTACATATTGTGATGAAGCCAAAAACATACAACCCATCAGTATCAAATCTATAAAAAGCAAGTGTGCACCGACCCATAGGTATTTTTATATCTCTTTCAGCACACAATTAGGCAACCATCATTCCTACTTGAAAGAACACTTTCAAATAGTATACACATATATCAAAATAGAAAATCAGTCATACTACTTCTGCAGTTAATTCCAGAAAAAAAAATCAGCCCTAGCATGTCTCAGTGCCTTTTAGTTAAAACTTCAGAATGCAATGCTGACAAAAAAATTAGTTGAGGTACCTGGATACATATTATTCCGGAAATATCTTCCTAGTTCTTCAGCCTACAAAGAAAAAAACAAAATTAGCACAACTGGAAAGAAGATCACAAATACAAATCTCACCTAAGTCTCGACAACAGAAATACAATCAAACTCAAACTGAGCAGAAACATTCTCTGATGTGTTTATAAATCTGAACCTGCTTTCTGCCAGCATGTGTAAGAACACCCCCATATTTAAGAACCATCAGAGCTTCAACAGGTCGTTCCTCTTCTTCACCACTGCTTTTAGCCACTTTGATCCACTTTAGTGGCTTTAGTTGAACCTTTCTATATATGCCAGAGAAATGCCCACCCTGACATTGAATAAAACAAAACAAAAGTACACTGCATCTCAAGACTTGTTTATTAAAATTATGAAAATAAAACATCAAAGATGTTGTTATTAAAGCTTCAAGAGTCATGTGTGTAAGGCTATTGTCTTCCTCTTTTGCAAGAAACATGGGTAGCACGCCACAACTAATAGACAAGTTTCTCTAAGTGTAACACAGTACATGTGCTCTTTTATCTCGATAAAAACACAGAAAAAACACCAAAAGCCTTTCCCACAAGAGAGGATAGCTATGATAAAAAACTGTCATTATGTTCTATAAGAAAATTACCATTCCTTTATAATGGTTTCTCTTTTTCCTTGGTCTTTCTTAATCTCTATCAGTTTATCATTTATCGCTCATCTGATCAACCATTCCTATTGGCTTTTTGGTCGGTCTTCTTCTCACATGATGATAGGATATAATAGGAGAAAACAGATTAAGAAGTAATTGTTAGTTAGGTTGTTAGAGTGAGGTTTCCTTTATATAGTTGGGGAGTCCTGGTATGTGAAGGACTCTTGGATAATTTTGTAGATTGAGCTTTAGCTCTTTGTGAAGGAGAAACCCTTGGAGGAGAGAGTGTTCTTCTATTTTTGTGTTCTTTTTAGTCTATACAATAAAGAATATTACTATTCTTTCTCTTTTCAATTATGGGTTCCTAACACATGATCAAATCATCAAGACAGCAATGTCACCAATCAAATATTTGCATATATCCAGATCTAGCAGGAAGCTGTGTCTTCAGTTTTCCTTTCTTTTCTTGTATATATAATCATGGACTTAGCACAGCAAGGAAAATTGGATTTTATACCACATACTAATTCATGAGTTAGTAGCACACAATCAATGTGATAGTATAAGTAGTGATAGGCTATTTTCTGTATCAGTGTTATGTTACTGTTGTATGATAAGCTGACTGAGCATTGAGTCAGCACCATGCAATAGTTAGTAGCCATCTGTCATTCTTTTAGGACAGCAAGAGTCTGTCATTGTATAACATGATCTTAACTAAATAACTAGCAGCTTAGGCAATCAGATTGCATTGCATATATTCATGACCACAAACCGCAATAATACAATTCAATTTTGTAGATTACAAAATCTCTCTTTAATGAATTCTTTACAGTGGAATACAGACTTCAGCTATGCAAGAAAATGCTCCTTTCTTTTTCATATAGGCTTTTAAGAGATTTTGTTAAACCACACTAGTCCTTACACTGAATAGTTTTAGCTTTTTGGAAAGTTTATTCATGACATGCTGTAAGAGTCTGTTTGACAAAGAGGTCATGACTTTGATAAACTTTTCCCTTATTTTTCTAAATAAAAGCTAGGTAAGCATATGAATCATACTACCTAGGGCGCATAAGAATAAGGCTTTGAGAGTTTTTCTTTTGTTACCCAAAAAAATAGAAGAAAATTTTCCACAAACTCTGCATTAGGGGTTAAAATCTAATTATAGCAACAATTCACGTTATCCTTTTCTTGTCATGCATTCTTTCCTTTTATAAAAGGTAGGTATGCAAAAGCATCATTACATATAGCGTAGGACCCCCAATTAGGTTGGTACCCTATGCTATATCAAACATTTGCAAAATACAAAAATGATAGGAAAGAAACAGAGAAAAGGATTACAAGATAGTGGGGAGACTAACCAAAACCCACTGAATTACCAAACCTATAAAAAGGTAGTCAAAAAAACCTATCCCTATAAAAGTCATAGCAAATGAAATCCAAAATGGAATCCCACCACCTATTACATTAGTGACTAACACAATAGTAGGCAAGTTTATCCAAACACGAATTTCCTACTCAAAAGATTTGTGATATATGAAAAAAAGGAGAAAAAGATATTCCAAGTCACTGATTTTATGATTTTTCCATAAAAGTTAAATGCCTTATAATAGTTTCATAAAATTAAAAATAAAATAAAATAAAGATACAGTATCTAACCAAGTCCTCCTTACAAAATATTGCAAAACTTAAAAACAAATGCCCTCAGTTCAACAAATTCAAAAGAATTCCAGACCTTTGACTTCATGACTTAAAAACTAGAAAGAGAACCTAAAATTGAAGAGCAGCAGAGAAAAAGAAAGCAAAAGAAAAAGAAGTTTCAAACCAAAAAATTGTGATGACAAAGATTTAGAAAAGAAGACAAAAATTCACTTAAAATCTGTATATTCTAGAGCAAATACCCTGAGAATCAGTTGAAGGAAATTTGTAGGACAAGTAATAGAGACATAAGTTCTACTAATCAAGCAGTTAGAGGGAATCAATTGAATTGAATGGGTGCCAATAAATAGTCCTAGGTCAAATTTATCATGTGACCCCTATTAAGATTCTTATCTACAAAGAATAGAAGTTAATAAAAAATACAGAAGAAAAAGTGAGAATATGAAATGACAAAGGAAATGTAAAAGAGCCAAAGAAAGGGAGGTGGTTTAAGGAAAAATGAGTTAAATACAAGCTTTCTAAGCTAAATGCAATCAACATGTCAGCTGAAGATCCTTAATAAATAAGAGCATATTATGAGAAATAGAGAAGATTGGGAGAAAATATCCCTTGGGTGTTTAGCATACACATAGGGTAGTTTATTTATATTGTAAGATATGGG